TATATATAAACATATATACACATACACATGCACACATAAAATGGTTAAGATAGTTCTACTACTAATTTCTATTAGTTCACTGAAAAGAAAGGTTAGTGTTTGTATTGTTGATCAATTTTTCATGCCTATATCTTGTAATCTGAGCAACTACTTTGAAGATAACAATAAGCAACATACTAACCATTATTACTCTATTATCTTGTTTTGAAATTTTGTATCATTGTTTTGGTTTTTTCTCTTTAACATAAAAAACATCCTTCAGAATACCTTATATTAAAAAAAAACCTGTGGGAATAAAAGATAGCTCTAGTTTTGCCATGTCGGGAAGATCAAAATAGGGGCAGACTGTTCAAATAAGCACAGCTGCCATGCTGGACTCAAACTTGCGATTCCCCTGCCTTGCTCTCCGAGAGCGTTACCGTTACAGGTGTGCACACCACACCCAGCTGATCATTTTCCATGCACTCCATGTATCTCCAGTCTTCTCATTGCACGTGGAAGGGAAATTTGCCAGGGGTTAGATAGCACCAAATAGAGTTCTCTACCTGACTCCAGGCAAGAGGCCTGGATTCCTACACAACCTGAGCATAACTCAGGTTATTCAAGTACAAAACTGCCGAACCCCCGGCAGAAATACTCACTCCGGCTTTCGTTTCTTGCCAATTTGCTGGGATAACTTTTGGCTGTTGGTACATATGGCTCTGGAGGTGGCAAATCAGAAATCGGATGGAAGTAAAATCTGCTTTCCCACTCATCTAGGGTACAAACAAACAGGATGTTCAGTAATAGACAATCTGCTACCGAGACTCACATAATGAAAGGCACAGAATGAAATACAGAAGGAACTGCACAAACCAGTTCGAGCTTTATGCCTAGTTTACCGAAAAGCTAGAAGTGCCACAAATGTCACCGACTGGCACACTGATAAAACGTGCTGGCAAAATCAGAGTGATTTTTTGTCCCCAGTGCTGCGTATTGAACAGGAGTGATCAGGATCCAGCCAGTCCCTCCGGAGCTCGTGTGTGGGAGCCCGTTCTTCCCCGCAGTGGGCCCTGGAGTGAGCAGGACCACTCTGATGACACAGCAGTGGGAAGCGGCTTCGTGTCTGCAGGCTGCTGAGTCTCTTTTCCATAGCCAACTTTTTAGAAATATAGGTAATAAGAAGGCAAGCTGCAAAAATGGGTCTTTCTAGAATTCTAGACTCTCTGGAAAGTTAACCAAAATGAGCCTTAAAGAACAAGTCAGAGAAAATGATCTGCCTCTCTGGAAACTGGGAGAGAGGGTTGCTGGTTTTGACTTGAAATCCTCGTGGACCCAAAGATTGGTTAAATCGGTGCAGTGCCGTGTGATGACAATCCGGGATCAAGAAATGTTAATTCTGTCCTGTAGCCACGGAGCCAGTACGTACCTTCCCCTGAGTTGTCTTGGAAGCCGTTTCTAATCGATGTTGATGGTGGCGGTGGGGGTGGCGCCCCAGCACCAGGCCTATCTGGAGGAAGAGGAGGCCTGGACCCGCTCCTGGGACTATCTACTCCACTCCTGGACGGCAACTGAGGGGTGGCAGGCAGGGCCCGATTTGTGCTACCATTTCTGTTTATTGGTGGTGGCGGTGGGAGAGGCCCTGGGACAAAGAAAGGACAACATTAAGTGCAATGCTACCATACATCCCATACTGCCACTGTGGTCATCAGCGGTGTGCAATTACGGAGTGGATACTCGGCCTTTATCTAAGGAACAAGGTTGCCCAGGACATGAGAAATGACTGCACGTATAAACAGCAAGGTGCACGCGTGCACACGTTTATTTGTACAGCGAGTGCATAGACAGCTACATGGCTGAGTGCCCTGAGTTAGCATGGAGGCTGGAGATGGCACAGTAAACTGAAAACAGGTGACCATCTGCTTATACGAACCACCATGTAATTTAAAAAACATCTGTAATCCTCTTAAAGAGCTATTGAATCTAATGATTGTAGCATCATGAAAAAAATTTTTAAAAAGTAAGACAGTTATGAAGTTATTTTAGGCTTAAGAACTAAGTTCTTTGATGGCACCATCTTATTGTGTAACTGTACACGCATGTTCTGTGAAGCACATGAGCTGCTTCCAGGCAGAGTGACACCAGGAAACCGAACGCGAGTCATCCTGGCAGCAGGAGCTCCCTCTTGGCTCTTGTTCTCTGGGGAGGCAGATGAGCACAGGCAGTGACAAACTGCTGATCAGTATTCCCAGCTGTAGATGCGGTGTGCGTCCTGTGCCTGAATAAGCTGCCGCTGGGTGGAACTCGGTCTCTGTCTACGTGGGTGTCAGGTAGTCACCTTGCTCAGTGCCACTGCCAGGAGTAACATGTCAAAAAACAAGTTAAAAAATGCAATGGTGTGGTATAACCTGAAAATTTTTGTTTCCAGAACAAAATTCAAAGTAAATTCTTTTTAAAAATACTACAAAAGAAACCTATCTTACTTTTCCTTTTCAGTACATGCAGATGCTATTTTGGGTAGTGAGTTAAATTTAAAAAAAAAAAAACAAAAAAAAAAAACTTGAGCATTTGTCCCGGTAAATCCAAGTGACCTCAGTATTAGTCCTGATCTTCAGTAGTGAGCTCCACTGGTAACATGCTGACGTCTCATGTAAACACAATGTCTTATGGCACCATAAATATAAATATTTCATTACCTATAGATTCAGAATCCAATTCAAAGGCCTTAAATGGAACAACCTGTCCATTGCAGATTTGCCTGACAGTCTTAGCTCGAACACTTGAGAGGGTGGGAGCCACTGTCCAGTGCGGGGTGATGTCTCAAGGAGACTGCAGTGTCACCTTGTAGTACTTACTGCCCACCTGCTTACTTACTGCCAGGGCCGCGGGCAGCAAGACTAGCTTTACTGGTGGAAATGAGTCTCATGTAGTTTGGGTTTAACGTCACTCGTAATATTACCACCTGTCACTAGATGTAAACTAGACTTCCAACATTATAGGGTCTGTAGTATGGAACTTGATCAACTTCATCTCATTTTGTTTTTAAAGCAAATGTTCATGTGCCTTACTCTCTAATCTGATGGACCCAGCTCCATACCCAGGCTGGCACATGCAGGCTTTCTATGCAGGTTTCTACTTCTCATTGGCAGGATAATAATAAATATGATCATTTATTGAATAATGTAAGTACAAGAAAAAAGTAAAATAACATCTATACACTTGTCTCAGTTAGTTTTTACAGTAACCCTGAGAAGTACAGGACCAGTAGACAAAGCCTCTGAGGTATTAGAAGCTTAAAATATCCAAGTCAAGAAGCTAATGAATAGAAGAATCGATATTTAATTTCATAGCTATCAAATTCTAAAGCCCACTTCCCTAACAATGAAGCCAAAGCACTTTTCAAAATATAGACGGCCCTTGATATGTAAAAGGTAGGAAAGTTCTTGAAGGCAATTTGGCAGTACCTATAAAATCCAGTTTTGCTATGTATAATCTTGGACCCAGAAATTCTGTCTCTAGGAATTCATTCAAAACATACAGAGTTAGGGCTGGGGATTTAGCTCAGCGGCAAAAGCGCCTGCCTGGCAAGCGCAAGGTCGTGAGTTAGGTTCCCGGTACCAGAGAAAAACCAAAAAAACAAAACAAAACAAAACATACAGAGTTAGGCACAAATACTTAGCAACCAAGATGTATCACTACATCATTTGCAACAGCACAAATCTAGAGATGGCCATTATAACCAAGGGAGGGGACTGGTTAAAAAGCGGAAGGCACATTTGTAGGATCTAATATATGCAGCTGTTAAAAATTAGGTTGTAGAAGAATATTTACTCATACCAGAAAATGTTAATGAGATATTGTTAAATAAAAAGCAAGTTACAGAATATGTTTAGTATGACACCAGTGTTACAAATGTACATGTCTGAACTTGTACTGATTGAATGTTAAAAAGGTATAAAAAGACATGCAAACATGTTATCACTGATGATTTCTGGATAGTGATGGTAGGATTAAAATGATTTTTATTTTCTGTACACTTCTCTCCATTTCTAAATGAAGCAGGTATGACTTATGTAATCAATGAAAGACTACATGTTACATGTCACTGCCTATAATATTTTGGGGAAGATTTAATATGCTCATCCATCCATTTGACAGTCTATGAAAAGGCCCTCAAGCACTTTGAGGGAAAATTCCTTGATGTTGGATGGAAAGAAATATGTCACATTTCATTCACCTTAATACTCAATCTCATTTGTTCACTGAGGAAACCTTAATGAGAGGCCACTATGTCTGTGGATTGGATTTAATGGACTAGTAAGGTTTTATTATCTGCCGTCCATTCTCCATGGCATAGTGGTTTGAAGGAGTGGTTCTCAAACTTCACTGTACATTACTGACACTGGGGACCCTTCAAATATCCTGATACCTACTCTGTATCCCAAGCCAGTTCTCCATGGGAAGCAGCCCACTGTAACTCTACTGTATGATCAAGTCTAAGGACCACGGATTTAAACAATAGTGTTTATTAGGTTCCTAGGGTCAAAGATCAGTTAACTTTCAGAGAAAAAATGTCCTATTTCCAGATATGATGAGGTTTTCAAAGTGAGGTGGAATTTAAAAAGTAGATGGTTGTAGTAAGTCCATTAATAATGCCTAGAATGATAAATCTAAAAATGCTTATAATAATTAGAGAAAGAGCTAATTCTATGGAATCCTCACGTTTCATTTCATACTCTGAAAGTTCTTCCCTTAGATAAGTTTGTCAGCCTGTGCTGGAGCACAGATGGGCCTGTCAAACCATAAAATAGCATGCAGTTTTCCCCGCTAGTGTTGGAGATGGAATTCCGGGCCTCATGCATGCTAGAACAAGGGCTCTACCACTGAGTTACATCCCTACACCAACACACAAATTGTGTTTATGACTATGGGCATTTTTATAAAGAGAACGTCTACAGACTATACATTTGGTTCACTGAGATGTTTATGTACCTGAGGTGTTAACAAAGTTCAAAAAGGACTTTTGAACACTTGTATTGAATAAGTAGAGAAGTGGTCTCAAGGCCTGACAAATAGGTAGAAAAGTTCATCTGCTTGGACGCAACTGCCCTCATGTTGGAGTCCTGGGCCCTCCTGCAGCAGATGAGAATTTATTTTTAACAAGGGCGGCTGTGGGGCGTTCAGGCAGCACAGACATGGCAAAGTCTCAGCCTCTCTGTTATTAATTTGCTTGTGACCTGCTGGTTCTCTCTTAAAAACGCAAACTGGAACCTCAGAGGTTTGCAGGCGTCACAAGGACATCAGACACCATCAGGCGGGAAGCAGCCTGAGGGTTTACTATGCTTTTGTTTGCGCGCACGCTGGCGTAGGGGTGAAACTGGGGCGCTGGGCTCGAGGGCGCCACTCCGCGTCCGCCTTACCTGAGCGGCCCGGTGGGTCCCTCACCGGAGGAGGGGGTCTCTCGTTGGGCGGCGGAGGCAGCGGGCCCGAGCGCCCCGCCGACGACAAGGACGGCGCGGACGAGGACGAGGTGAGCGACACGTTCCGCTGCGGGAGCCTGGGGATCTCGTCGGCGCCGCCGGAGCCCCCCG